TATAATCACATAATTGAGCAACATGACAATGGAATTGAGCATGCTGAGGATGGTCCAAGTGAGCAACAGAATAAGGATAATGACAATGCTGAGGATGTTAATGAGGATGAAGAGGAATCTGAAAAGGAAGAATGTGAAGAAGAAAGAGAGAGAAGGTCTAGAAAGGGTATGCAAGTTGAACAAGATCACATTGACCCAAAAGCGAACAAATTGGAAAGAGAAAAAAGAGAAACATTTCCAGGACCTGCTCTGAAGTCCCCATACGTGAACAGATTTATATTTGCAAGGACAACACTTGGCAGTGAGGAAAGACTACTTGCAGGTTTTGTGTTCAATGACCATACTGAGAAGAAGTAAGTCCACAAGTTTTTCTTAATCATTTCGTTTAATATAATGCACATTTAGTACTTATATGTTACTCATTCTGATCTAATAATTCTTTTCAAACAGTGTTGTTCTGTTCAAGCATTACAACTTCACTCTTTCAAAAGCTCAGATGGAAACAATGAGGAGCAACACAAAAGTTGATGCTGGAATTATAGATATATGGGCAGTGTTGCTTAATCATAATGAAAAGTTCAAAAGCCCTGAAGCTAAAAGCAGAATGATTTTCTCAACAAGACCATGTGTAAGAACCAAGAAGTACATATTCATTTAATTAGTATTACAAAAATGAAACTAATACATAATATTTAATGACAGCATGTGCTAGATGGAAACTATCTCACCGCTCCACAAACAAGGAACAAAAGGTTTGTGGCAGAAATTGGCAAGGAATTTCCCTGTGCAGATGGAAATAAGTTGAGGTCAACAGACCTATTCATATTCCCAGATGAATACAATGGGTGCTACTATATGATGTGCTTTGACTTGAAGAGCATGAAGTTCTACATCATTGATAGTAGCAACGGAGATATAGCTCCTGCACTCAAGTACTTGTTTCAAATGTCATACCTGGTAAATGTTTTATATATTTCTTTTTATTTTATTATATATGGATAAATACTGAGATGAGTTAAAATATGAGCAATGTGCACTTGATAATTGAGTAACTACATAGACAATATGTGCATGCAAATAAAAATATGTATAAGTTTGTTTTCGAACTTTTTAACTACAGAGAAGTGGATTTGTGAAATTTCTTCGAGATCACAAACACCCGAAGGCAGATAAGGTTGTGAAGCTGAAGGAAGAAGTGGTTAAAATGCATTGGAGAAATAAGAAAAACAAAACCAATGATGGAGTTTATTTGATGAGGCATATGGAGACATTTTATGGTGACATAGCATGGGAGTGTGGACTAGATAGAGAAAGTGTAAGTCCAAAGTTGTTTAATATAGTTTTCAAACTAATAATTATGTGAAAACTTGAATATCTAAATTATAATGTTTGTACAGGAAAAACCAATTGAGATGCTGAGGATTAAGTACTTGCATGCCATAGTCACATCTGATAAGAATGAGATCAAGAAGGAGGTCATGGAACAAGTGAAGAAACACAATGTGTCTATCTAGAAGATGTGTAATGCTATTGATGATTCTGGATGTTGATGAACATACTGTTGTTTTTTAATTCATGTTAAACAATATTAGTATTTGGGACATATCATATAACTATTAAGCTTGGATGACAGTAATCATGTTAGTATTATTAAATGAAGACATATGCTTCCGGGAAGTTCATATTGGTGATCATTATTAGTAAATGGCATGCTCATTTTCTTTCTTACTTATACACATTTTAAGTACTATTCATATTAGTGTTCTTGTTGCCAATTGATTTGTGCCGGGAGATTGAGGTTCTAATGAACAAGTATTGGTGGAATGGGAATGTCGGAAAAGGGATTAGGTGGACTGATTAGGATTCTCTTTGCAAACCTAAGAAACTGGGTGGAATGGGTTTTAGAAAACTTCGGCACTTCAACCTAGCAATGCTGTCCAAGCAAGCTTGGAGGCTATTTACGGAACCAGAGACATTGGTGGGGAGAGTCTTCAAAGCCAGATATTACCCAGAGGGTAATTTTATTTCAGCTCAATTGGAAAGTAATCCGTCTTTCGTGTGGAGGAGCTTGTTTGAGACTCAGAAAATCATAAAGGAAGGCTACATTTGGAGGGTTGGCGACGGTAAGTCCATAAAAATTTGGAAGGACCCATGGTTACCAGATAGTGTTAATCCAAAAGTGACTACAGCTCCGATCACTGGTCTAGAAAATTCCTTGGTCAATGGGTTGTTGGGTGAATCACATCAGGCTTGGGATTCTGATATTTTACATGACCTTTTCAATAATAGAGATGCTAAGCTTATTCAAAGTATTCCAGTGAGTAGAAGAGTGGTATCTGACAGTCTGATTTGGAGGTGGAAATCGGGAGGTAGATTTTCAGTTCGGAGTTGCTACCAAAAAATTACAGGCGAATTTCAGGAAACCGACTGGAAGGGATGGACGGTGATGTGGAATTGGCATCTACCCCCCAAAATTAAATCCTTCTTCTGGCAAGCTTGTAACAATTTTCTTCCAACAACGGTTAATCTTAGCAGGCGGAGGGTAGACTGTCCGGTTAAGTGTGGATTATGTGGTAGCGGTGATGAGTCGTTGTTACACTTGTTTGTTCTGTGTTCGGTGGCAAAAGCTTGTTGGAGCTTGGTCGGTTGGTCTTCCGTGGGGTTGCTAGCAAGTTCTTTTCTTGAATGGCTGCAGCAGATTTTCCAGGTGAAGAGGAACGTGGAGTTACAGAAGGTTGCTTGGCTGTGTTGGAGTATTTGGTGTGAAAGGAATCAAAGGATTTGGAATGGGAAGAAGTTGGATGTTCATCAATTTTTGGGCAAGGCAGAATCTTTTGTTAATGGATGGCTTCAGGCAAAAGAGCAAGGAAGGACTTTTTGTACTGAGGAGCAGATCTCCAAATCGGTGTGGAAACGACCAACTGAGGGTCGGTGCAAAATCAACATTGATGCTGGCTTTAGTGGTGAGGGATGTGTGGGTGGGTGGGTTTTACGAAATGAAAATGGGGACTTTCTTGCTGGGGGAGCCAAGTACTGGGAGGGTAATTTTACACCTTTGGAGGCAGAATTGATGGGAGTCCGGGAAGCGCTCAGCTGGTTAAAGGAACAGGGTTGGAATCATGTGGATGTGGAGTCCGATTCGTTACTAGCCATATCAGAAATTCGTACAGGGTCAAGCATCTCTTCTTACGGTCTTTTGGCGGAGGATATTAGAGAGTTAAGCTCTAGTTTTATGAGTATTAATTTTTATCATATTAGGCGATCTGCGAACAGAGCCGCTCATGCGTTAGCACGGGAGGCTAGTTCTGTGTCTGATAGCCGTGTTTGGTTGATTTTGCCTCCTAACAGTATTGTTGATGTACTAAACTTTGATTTGATTAATGCCAATTAATTGCTCTCTGTTCAAAAAAAAAGTATTATTCTCATTTCATTTCTTACTTATACAAAAAATTTAAGGAGTGAGCCCTTAGTTAAAATCTTTGACTATGAAAGTAAGTCAACGTAATCATTCATTAAATATACAGTGGGGGTAGGGGGGTGGGGTGGGGTGTTTTTTCCAATTATTAGTAAGTTAGTTGTAATGATATGAGTCTTCACTATGAAATGAAATAGATAATTAAATTTTTTTGGGGGGAAATATGTATATATTTGTGTTCATTGCGAAATAGTAATTACACATTCATGATTATTGCAATATTGATGATTGACATCTGCATTTAGGAAGTTTATACAAATACTCATTATTAGTAGCTTGAATGCTCATTTAGTTAATTAGTATGCACAATTTGAAGAATTATCAATGGCATTTAAGAACATTAAGTATGAAATTACGTTATACAAATTTTCTTATCAAAAAAAGATTGGGGAAGTGTTTTTCAAAGAAATAGTAAGTTATTTATAATGGCACAACTATATCAATTTCAATACTCATTTTGGTAACACTCGGTACTCATAAGAGGACAAAGAATTACTCAAAAGAAGATTATATCACAGGAATGTTTGATTCAATAAAAGTAAAAACTACAACAAAAACATAGAGAGAGAAAACATGTAAAGTTTAAAAGTGCAAATAACTGAAACTAAAATGATGATAAAAGATAAAAGAAGATTATCTTTTTTAAATAATATAATAAGTATGTAAACAAAAAACAAAGCTTTTAAGAGTGTTTACAAATTTCAAGGTTCAATAAGTGAAGTACTAGATGCAGTTGACTTTTTCCTTCCTCGGGCTTGATTTGATTTAATCTCGACAATACTCTTGCGCCGAACATTTCTTTCACCTTTTTTTCTTGAACCTTTGGGATTAGAAATCGCACCAACCCCAATTGAAGCTGAATCACTGTCAGAGAAGTAAACACTGCCAACATGTTCTTCAACATCATGTTTCAATTTTTTGAAAGACTCTTCACAAAGCAGCCTTGCAGACGCATTAGAATCACTAGAACACAAAAGTTTGCGGAGTTTCCTTTGCATTTGCATTCTCCAAACAGAAGGCAAAACACTAGAAGTATTGGATAACATAGATGCTGACTTTGTTCAACTGACTTTGCTATTCGAGTCCAACGTTTTAAAACATAACAATCAGGAAGAACTTCAACGCCGTGGATATGATATATACGAAGACTATGGCAGCACAAAAAACCAACTTCTTGAAACCTCTTACATGAACAATTAACAAAATGTGATGTCGTGTCATGTGAAACCCACTGTGAAAACTGATCAATATGAGGCATCCAAACTAAATATCCAATAACAGAACCAACACAATGTTTAACCTCATGCTTCAAAGACATAGCACGAAGAAACTCCTTCTCAAAAAAAGCGTAAGCATCAATCGTGTAAATTCGAGAAGCTGTATGTAATATACCAAGATGGGGGATTGCTATCTCGGGGAAGCCATCCCAACAACGCTGTTGATCTGATCTCTCATGACTCCGCCATTCACTAACAGCTTCACAAAAAAAGTGATAGAAATCACAAAGAGAAGTCGTTGCATTTAACTTTCTAGACAAAGAATGATTTGTTGACTCGCTTCTTTGTGAGGATAAGATGCCAGCAGAAAAGTACTCTTTTGAAAATGCTGGACACCACTTCTCCCTAAGTCCATATAGTTTCTTCAACCATGGATTTTCAGAACAATTGAAAGTAGTCACCATTCTGCAAAATTAAAAAGCAAAAAGAACAACAGTGTACTCATCAAAATGAAGCTATTACTCATTTTTTTACAATTGACAGTGTAAATAATAAATAATGAAAAAGAAAGAAAACAATTGCAATAATACATGATACCTGTTCCAATAAAAGTCAAACTCAGAAACTGTGTGACAAAGTTTCAAAACACGATCAAATAAGTCCAAAAAGCCTTCATCATTCCTCAAGTCTCGTATATGCTTTTTAGAGTTTTCAATGATGTGCCATATACAAAGACGGTATTTTGAACTAGGAAAGATCTTAGATATAGCTGAAGCCATGGATGCAGACTGATCTGTCATAACGGTTTTTGGATGAACTGAATCCATTGAAGTCAAAAATGTGGTAAAGAGCCATTCAAAGGATTCAATGCGTTCATTCAAAAGAAAACCACAACCGAACATACAGGTATGCGTATGATTGTTAATACCTACAAATGGACCACAAATCATATTGTACTTATTTGTACGATATGTAGTGTCATGAACAACCAACTCTCCAAAAGCTAAATAGTCCTCTTTCATTTGCTTGTCTCTCCAAAAGAAGCTAATTAAGGAACCATCAACATCAACTTCAAAAGAGAAAAAAAAGTCTTCTTCATTTGTTTGTCTGTTCCTAAAGATATTAATCAAAGTGTTTGCATCACAACCATCAAAACTTTTCTTTTTGTTTTTTTCCAATTCATTGTAGACATCACGCAACACAAAACCAACTGACGGAGACCCACCTGCTTCAGCTTGTAAACAGCGAAAACCATCAGCTATTTTTACTCCTCTATTTCTCAAATGATTCAAATACATCAACTCAGAAGAAGAAACATCACGATGAGATCTCACGTGATGAACTAAAGAATCAGGACAGAAATAGTGATTGTGATCCATAAGATGTCTAACAACAACCCATTGACCGTTACTTCTAAACTCAAAATAAATTTTTGCTTTGCAACCTGTACGACGATCAACTTTGGTGAATGCCTTACCATGTACACCTTTATTCTTCTTATGACCTTGTTTAGTGCAACAAAATTCTCTGCCTCTAACATCACAACCACCTTCTTTCTTCCGTAGAGTAGAATAACGAACACCAAAGCCAATTCTAAAAGCATACTCATTATACAAATCAAAAGCTTCATTCTCTGACAAAACAATCTTTCCAAGAAGCTCTGAAACTTCGGCTTCTTTAACTACAAGGGAAGAATCAGATTGGGGTATAGCATCAAAACTGCTAGAAGAATGGCTAGCTGCAAAAATGAAAAGTACAAGCTAAAATAAAATGATCTAGATCAAGGAAAAAGGGAGAAAAACTAAAAAGTGAAAATAAATTTAAAACAAAGAAAAAGAGAATAAAAAACAAATAAGGTACTTGAATCAACAACAAATATGTCGCCTCTGGATTCAATGTCTTCAATTAAATGTCCAGTACAAGCAATTTCATCTGCAAAAGTATAAAATAAATACATAGACAATATTGCTCATTGAAATAAAGCTATAACATCAAAATCTGTTATATATAGTGAACTGCTTAGTAGATGAATACCTGAAAAATTAGACATAACTGATCAACGTAAACCTACAATAAATTTAAAAACATTTAATAATATAGTGATCATATTAAAATACTGAAGAAAAATAAAATGCAAATAAAAAATCTAACGACAAATAGATGAAGAACATTACTTCAGGAAAATAAAATAATAGAATAAAAGGATGAGATTCTTACCAAATTCGAAGAGTACAGATGAAATATTTGGAATGATGATCGTTGTAAAACAAATTCGAAGGAAATCACAACGACCTGGAGAAGATTTCTCTGTAAACCAAATTCGACAAAAGATCAAAACGAGCTGGAGAAGATGATCAGTGTAAACCAAAATCGAGAGAAGATCACAACGAGTTGGAGAAGATGATCGAAATAAACTTGATTGGCAGAGCAGAAGAGGATGATCGATGTAAAAGGCGGAGAAGAACGCTGAGTATGATCGAAGATAGAAAGATTAATAACTAACCTAAAAGTTCATTAAAATTACAAAATAAACGGGTGTATAGGTACACCCGGGTGTACCGTATAAAACGCCATTATTCAAACCAAACATAAGAAAAGTAATTAATTTTCTTTACCATGTTGCACCTCCTTTTAAAAAATTTCTAGGTTCAAAACACACATCAATAGAATAGAAACAATTACTTTGCCAGAATCTTCTCAATTGGGAGAAGAGATCAAAAGGGCATTGAAGAGAAATGAATACAACAGTTAAAACCATTTGTTGCTATTCAAAACTAGTGTACATTTAGTGTATTTATGAGTACCTGTGTGTATACATAATAAAAAGATAGATGAAAAATATCACACGTATATGAATGTATAAACATTGAGTCAATGTTGTTTCCTTTCTTCTTGCATGGACTTTAAAATCCGAGCAGCGGATTCTGATGTCGTGTTGGGGTTGTGAGGCACAACTTTGATCACGCGAACCTGATTCAGGATGGGTTGGTCTGAATCTTCTTCACCTGTGGGTTTGGTGGGAAAAAGAGAGAGCGCGTCCGGCAGCACCCTCTCAGAAGGACTACTTGCAGTACTTCCTTGCAGATCACTCCCTCTATCTGTCTGCAAACTCGGTGCTCCATTTGACAAGATCCTACTCTGAGCCCCATTGTTACATACTACTTTCTTCTCACAAGGCCTGCCCAAATTAGTGTCACGCACGGACGGGCTAATCACAGGCAAGGCATATGGTTGAAAGTAGGGCGGGCTAGAGAAAAGCCCGATTCCATATGGCCTACAACCACCATAAAGAGGGGCAAGGATCCCTCCAGGTGGGGGACAAGGACCTGAATACGGTTTGTAGACCAGTCCCTCAGAAGGAGACCTTACGGGAACTAGCCATTGGTTTCCATATGGTGGTTGGAAGTACCATTTGGCATCATGATCCGGAGATGTCAATGTTCGCGTCCCTGAGTCTGGCATCTTCTCTCTCGAGCTCTCTAATCCAATACCCAAAATGCCTTTTGGTTTTTGAGAAGAATATGAATTCCTTTCTACAACTGGGGTTGGCGGTTCATTAACATTGTTGGGTGGTAGTTTCTTTGTGAAAAACGATGATTTTATATGAGATTTTCCGGTAAATAAGTCATCCTCGAATAAGATATCTGGAGAACGTGAAACCATTTTCTGAACCTGATCACAAGTATTAGAGAGGATATTCAATACATAGATTGCATAGTGCAGATGTTATTGTATTTGATAAATGATTGTGTTTATTGTTTAAATAACATGCAAAAATATCCTGAATCATATCTAACTGAAATACTGTGTATAAACTAATAATTGATACAACAATAACATTACCATAGTGCCGCATAGGATCCCGCCTATAGCGGGGTAGGAGATATAAACTACTACGTATCTAATAACTCATCCGCTAAGAAAAGCACTTTCCTGAAAGATTTTTTTGTCACAAAATAAGAGTTGCATTCTAACAATCAACTTCAAATTTTAAGTGAAATTCATGCAAAGCCAAATGATGAGCGATTTTAGGCAATTACTCCAAATAATATTCGGAATAAGTTCTGGGGAGTGGTACGTCTATACAAGCGACCACTCATAACTTGTGAAAGCTTATACCTCGATTGAGTTAAATTTATAAACAATTGTACTCTACTCAAACATGACCCTTTCATTTGGGACCGATGGAGTGATTTGTACTAAAGACGCCAAACATGTCAGTGTAAGTCTGTAACTATGGATACTTAGGAAGTACCTTTATTAACCTATGCAGCTCAAATATTTGTAGTGAGAAGGTCCTTTGCTGACTGCAAATAGAATGACAGGGTTAACACAGATGCAATATAAAAGAACTTGAGGCAAAACTAGTTTAAGGATACTTACTGCATAATGGTCCTCCTAGCTTTCCAGAATAGCTTATGTCCTAGAATTTTTACTACATCATCAGGGGACAAATTTATAGCTGAGGCGTAAGGAATTTCCTCATTTCTGTCTGCATGAGAAATCTCTTTATGATGACCTTCCATCACGGAAGCACTTCTCTTCTTATCAGTCTTAGCATTCTTCGCATATTCATCATAGTCCTCATCATATTCATCTTCGAGAGTGTATCTCTCTTTTCCTAGGTGGTTCCTTTTTTGTATTACTTTTTCAGAACTATTATGATTTTTTTGATAAAAACTGGAGCTTGAAAATGTATCTTTTTCTTTTTCCAATATTTTCTGAATATTTTCACTTTTTGGGTGTTTCCCCGTGTGAGGGAATTTTTGAGCACTGAACCTGCCACCATTTTCGAGCTTCATAGCAGATAAACTATGACAAGAGGTGCTTGGAAAATCTCCTTTATTGTCACTTAAACTTTCATATTTTAGTGGTGCTAAATCTAGACTTCTCGGTGTTGTAAAACTTGGTTCACCCATTGTAAAATGAATGACACTAGAGTAAGAATGGGATGAGGAAGGTGGATAGTAAAAGGGAGAAGCAGCCTGCAATCAACACAAGTAAGAAAAGCCAATTTAAGGAATCTAGTAGCATCCCCAGATACGTTGCAAATAAAGTAATTTTTGAAACTCTAGTGATTGGTAGTACACTTGGGCTTATTATGCTAATAAGCAAGTAATTAGCTTTTGACTTGCTTACTTTAATGAAATGGATGGTAACAAACATATTACATAAAGTGAGTTTACACACTATAAAAATATGAGTAGATTTAGTCATCACACAAATACCCCTTATCTAAAGTGAGTTTACACACTTTAAATTCATGCAAAAAGGCATTGTAACATAGTCCGTATATGTATATGTAAAATATATATAAATAGTACAAACATAGTCCGTATATAATAACGGAGTAGTATAAAGATATAAATACAATAAACGTGTATCAATACTAATATCTAAATGCGTTTATATGGTCGTGAATCAGAAGGCATGCCTCAAAATCGCATGGTAAATCAGAACTACACAGGTTGATATGCAAACTATGAATGAGATTTTGACTAATATGAACAAAAGTGTTTCCAGCTTCAACTATTCCATAGGATCAAGAGGCTATGTCTAGATCCTGCAAAATGCCAGGGAATGAAAGAAAATGCTTAGAAAAATGACTTTCTTTTTCTTCTAAAAAAGCGACAAAGGGCTAATCTCAGCAAGGCTACTCTATTGCTTAAAATACCCTAAGTTAGATGAATGACTTTCTTATGTTTAGTTTTAGATGATTTTCCTTAAATATTACTCCGTACTATAGTAGAACTTATGGGCAAAAAAAGTGACTCAAGATTCTAAATGTATATTATCATAGTCACTATAATATATATATATATATATATATAATCACCCCTTAAGTTTTACCACTGAAATTGCAAACAAAATGAAATACAATTGCCTTTTAAAAAAATTTAAATTTCTTGCTCTTAAAAAAAGAGTGAAAAATTATCTAAAAAACAAAGGGTTTGAGTATATCTTATCCCCCACCCCCTCAACTTATATTACCTGATATTTTTTCATGTTCCAGATGAAAAACTACAAAAGTCCAAACGATACTACTAAATAAACTATACCTAGCATAACTAAGCTGGTTTTGAGACTTCTAAGTGATGGCAATGTGATGCTACGTACTAACAAATAAAGGCAATGTTGTGCAAGAATCAGCAAGATCAATCAATACATTTACAACCCATATAGAAAGAAATGAGCAAGATAAAACCACACAAGTCATAACTGTGCATCAAGTTTCTAACATTAGTCAAGGTGTGGATTGGTAACTAATGGTAAGACCTCATGCAAAGCAATGCAGTGTTACAAAATGGGTGTACAATATGAATGTCTACTAAACTACACCAAAAAACACAAAAATCCATCCATAAATGAGAAATAGGACCAGATTGAATTATTTGAAACAAACACAATCGAGAATTGAAAGAAAGCATTATAAAGGTTGGACTTACATGGCTCAAAGCAGAGGAATTAGGAAGAGGGAGAGGAAGCATTGGGATAGGTGGCAAGGACATTGCAGGGTGTTGTGTTTCACTAAGAGCAGCCATTTTGTTCCTTGGAGGTGCTTTTGGCCCTCTTCTCTCTGTATCACTTATGTGCAGCCTAGGAAATATAGGATGATGATCTTCCATCCGTTTCTCATCCTCTTTCCCACCACCACATTTCATCTTCCCTTTTCTCAATTCTTCCACAACTATCCCCATTCCCATGGTTTTTTTTCAAGAATCACGCCTCAATAGCAGCAAGAATCCCCAGTTCATAGATACCGAGAATTTGTTGAATTCTCCATGAATAAAAAACAAATCTTTATGGCCAAATTCGACACAAGAACTTGAAATACCTTGAGATTTCTTGAAAGGGAATTTGGAGAGATGATCACGTGAACAAGGGAAGAGCAGGCATGAAGATTCCATGACGAGACAAATAAAAGGAAAGTGAAGAGAAAGAGGGGGAAATAAAAGGAGAGTGAGAGAGTCATCCTCTCACTTCCTCTGGATTCTCCTTCATTGTCTCTCTCTCATCAGAAACAGTTGCCGCACAAGTCTGATAGCTTGTGCTCTACGGGCCACACATACTGCCATTATTATATTTCCCCAATCTCTTCACGAAAAATATGGCAAAGATTTGCATTCAAAGAGGAAGCCAAATGGCTCTCATTCGCCTCATGCTTCCCTATTATGTTATCAAGATTGTCTGGTGAGATACTGAGATTTGGTTCGACTGTCTTCGTAGCTAAATGCTTAAAATTAAAAATTACTCTCTTTTTTATCGCAACATGTTCTACTTTGACTACATTTTATATTATTATTTTATGAAAATTATTTTCTTTGAAAAGTATTGTTTAATTCATCTCATTACAAATTTTCAAAATCTAATTTTGAAATATTTTTTACTAATAGAGATTAAGATATAATTACCGTCAAAGACGTGCGTTGACAAGTGTGAAATGTTGACCGTTGCAACTAAAAAAGAACGGAGGAAGTATTAACTTTAACGGGTTTTATTTATTTACTATGAAAACATTTAAAATTTTGGTTCAATTTATTATTGGGAAAAGGTACGTATATACCCCTGTAATATAGGTGGAAGAACAAATATACCCCTGTTCTATTTTTCGGAACAAATATACCCCTAAACTTTTAAAAAGGTGCAAAAATATCCCTCATGTTTTTATAAAGGAGCAGATTAATCCTTATTGACTTTAAATTAATAAAATAAATTTCAAAAAAGACCAAAAATAAATTAAAAATTTGAAATTTAAAAATAAAAAATTTTAAAAAAGCAATTGTGTCCAATTCTCCCTTTATTGTTTTTATATCACAATTTAATATTTTTAGTATAAAATATTATTTCACAATATGTAATTTTATAATGCAAAGAATGCAAAAATTAATTTTTCTTTACATTGCAAAACATATGTTAGCACCTTTCCAAAAGAATCTTAAACATATAGTAAAATTTTGAAATAATATTTTGTACTTAAAAAATATTAAATTGTGATATAAAAACTATAAACGGGAGAATTGGACACTATTACATATTTAAAATTTTTTGTTTTTTAATTTTGAATTTATAATTTATATTTGGTGTTTTTTTGAAATTTATTTTATTAATTTAAAGTCATTAAGGATTAAGTTGCCCCTTTATAAGAACATGATGGATATTTTTGCACCTTTTTTAAAGTTCAAGGGTATATTTGTTCCGAAAAATAGAACATGGGTATATCTGTTCCCACACCCATACTACAGGGGTATATTTGTACCTTTTCCCTTTATTATTCAAACACGGGTAATATTTTTTATTGATTTCACAAGCATATATAACAAGAGTAACAAATAATAAGGTCAAGTTTTCTATATATAATATTTGAACTTATATTTACTCACTACCTCCCTCCCAAATTGATTTGCAAATTTGAGTTTTCTTGATCCAAGAGTTTCATTTTATTCGCTTCATTAGGATGCCAATTTTTAATTATATTCTAATTTGTTGTTTACAACTTTGAAGAGATTTTAATGTAATTTCTGATTGAATATATGAATTTTAATTATAAAAAATCGAATTATTTATTGATAGGGACGATTGACTTTTACGATTGATTGACCAAAAAATGTTAACTTTGCAAAACAATTTGGGATGGAGATAGTATAACAAATTAAACAACACCATGGGAAAAAAAATACGGAGTATATAGTACGTCAATAATTATCGTAAAGGTTATGTTGTTGACCTGAATGCATTAATAGTCAGCTTATCGGTCAATTTTATATTATCAAATACTTGTATTTCGTATGTAGTTTTTTTTTTCTCGTAAAGGTTAGAGTTATTTTTCTTGACTAAATTGAAAGAAGTCGTTACTGTAGAAAATAAGTTTAGCTATTTTTCATGTATTTTTTTTCTTGATTTTATTAATAAACTACGTAATACATTTTAAGCACAATTTTTCATAATTCAACAAATTCAACCAAATGAAATTTAAGAGCTTTTTGTTTGGACAGTTTTAAGTCTCAAACTGGATCAGATTAGACCAGACCTAACAAACCAGACCAGACTTGCATTGGACATATGTGAAATATATAGAGACCAGACATTTATCGAACTAAACAAAACCAATCCAGATCAGACGAGACTTAAATAGATCAGACCAGACTTAAATAAATCAGATCAGCTCAGACTAGAAAATGTAGTCTAAAAGAAAACATCCTCAGTCACTTTGATCAAGAATTCATACATTTCAATGTTTTCAAATAAGCCCAAATCAATGAATTCCATTGTTATTTAATTAGAAGATATATATGATCCATTCGAAGTCATTAACATGTTTCTCATAAACATGTTACTACGGAGTATGTTCAAGAGAGTGACCGATCTACTTTTACTAAAGTTTCAATTCCCTTTCCTACTTTGTATCCCATAATGGTTCTCTCATTTTAATTTGGCACGGTTATTAATAAAGTTATTGAAAAGTAAAAGTAAAATGATATGGACCACAAATTTCTTACCAAAAAAGAAACATGACATTCTTTTTGGGAAAATCAAAATGGGACGGAGGAAGTATAATTTTGAATCTCGCTCTTCAAAGGCAAAAGAAGAGTAACATAAAGAGGTAATTACGTGAATAGGAGCAAAACATTGAAAAAGTTCCAAAATAGGAGTTCAATGTTTGATAGGAGTAAAAATTGTGTGGCTTGTCCAAAATGCCCTTAATGAAAATTAGAATAAACTCATTTCAAAACCCTAGCACGTACGACCATAGCCACCCAGCAGCACCCTCCAACGTCTTTGCCCTCTGCCACCCTTCAACATCTCAGTTGCCGCCGCCGCCGTCCGACGTCCCAGCTGCCGCCACCGTCCGACGTCCCAGCTGCCGCCACCCTGTGGCGTCACAGCCGCCGCCACCCTCCCGCATCTCAGCCGCCGTCCTCCGACGTCTCAGCAGCCTCTCCACCCTCCAGCATCTCAGCCACCGCCGCCACCCTCCGGTGTCTCAGCCGCCGCCACCCTCCGGCGTCTCAACCGCCACCCTCCGGCGTCTCAACCGCCACCTTCTAGCGTCTCAGCCGCCGCCTCTTTACTCCGACTATGAGGCAGTGTCTTCAAACACCACCAACATCTCTTGCTTTTGGCCTCTAGCCCAATGGAACTGCTGGTTTAATGGCAGCTTTACAAAAATATAAAAAAATGAATAATAATGCCATATTTACATTAATAATAATGCAGTAGTAATTTTTTATTGCCATTTCTTAATGGGCAAAATTATGCATTGCAAAATGGCATTAAGTGGCAAAAAATCCTTTTCAAATTAATAAAAAATGGCATTATAAGAGTAATATTGTCATTTTTTAGTTTTTTATTGCCATCTTTTTAATGGACAAAAAATAATGTCATGAAAATGGCAATATTTGACAAAAAACACTTTTACATCCTCAAACATATGAGTAATATTGACATCTTGATAAGAGTAATGTCAAAAAATGACATTTTCAGTTCAATGACATTTTCAGTTCAAATTAATAAAAAAAGGCATTATAAGAGTAATATTGTCTTTTTTTAGTCTTTTATTGCCATCTTTTTAATGAACAAAATTAATGTCATTCTTAATAGACAAAATTAATGTCATGAAAATGGCAATAATTGACAAAAAACACTTTTACATCCTCAAACATATGAGTAATATTGACATCTTGATAAAAGTAATGTCAAAAAATGACATTTTCAGTTCAATGTCGTAATCAAAATTATTTACATAAAAAAATATACCGAGCATTAATAATGCCACTTTAAAACTCAAAACTCAATAGAAATAAATAAATCCAAATTAATTAAAAATTATTGAGTTTTCAATATAAAATATGAAACTACACATTAATAATAATCTTCAAATTTTACAGAATCGATCCAATCAAAAAGAATAAATTCTGAATAAAAGAATATGAAATTGGAAAATGCAAAAATGCAAAAAAAAAAAATCAAAATAGAAAAAGTGGTATGGATTCCACTTCCTTGCTTCCCTCTTATCTAGCTATTGCCGATTCCAACTCCAGGAGGAGAGCCACTCAGCCAATTAAAGAAATTGAAAATCAGGGGAAGATGATGAGAAGGAGAAGAGGGAGAAGAAGGGATGAAGGAGAAGGATAGAAAGGAGAAGAAGGAGAATAACTTACCTGGAACAACCAAGAGAAGGCCATGGCAGCCAAGAAGAGTCCGGCGAGATGTCGCAGATCTGGAAGTCGCGCAGATCTGGAAGGGAAAAAGATATACGGGCAAGCACAAACGGATCTGGGCTAGTTAATTATATCAGGGGTATATTGGTAACATAAACTCCTATTTAGGGAATAAAACATTGGAACTCCTATTTTGGAATTTTTTCTATGTTTTACTCCTATCTTGGACAATTACTCTAACATAAAATTTCTCTTAATTAAAACTCGTATCAATTAGTTAATCAAAATCAGCTTTCACAAATATGATTTCATATAGGAATCCAAACTCATTAGAATTTGTACAATAAACTCCATCATTTATATCCAATCACTCAAGCTTCCAAGCATACAAAAAAAGGCAAAATGGCGTTGACCCGCCGGAGTGGCTCTGCGTCGTTGAGTAATACCTACTTTCAGTACTGCCGCACTCGCTGCTGTCGCCGCCGGCACTGCTCTCATCCACGTCACTCGTCTCCGCCTCCGTCCCCGTCCCGTCCGGCTTGAATATAAACAACCCGTGGTCGGAACCGCCGCCGCCGGGCAAGTTATTCGAAAACAACCAATCGTGGACGTCCCAGAAAACCTGGACCGGCAGCTTATTAACCACCACCGTCTGATTTCCCCTAAACTTCCACTGCAAATTCTTCACATGGACCAACACAATTCCGTCTATGCTTATCCACATCTCAGGGTCTTTGGACCCTGTGGTCGAACTCTCCACCACTATGTCACATTCTTTGTTCATCTTATGATCCAACCTCGCCCTCGTCGAGAAGCTCTTCTTCCCGAAAACGTGCTCTTTCTTGTAAAAAAGGACGGCGTCGACCAACGCCGGCCGGGCTTTGCTTCTCTTGTATGCCTTTTTCTTGTGGTCACCTAGCAACATCACCACCTCTTCCTCCGCCACCAATGCCACGTAGTAGTCTGCGCTTGGCTCTGGGCTTCCGCTCCCTGAGAATTTTGGGGAGCGGAAATCCCAATACGCCTCGAGCTGGTTACCGTCCACTTCGAACGTCTTGTAACCCTTCTTGGCCCAGAAGTTCCAAGGTTTGAGGTCTATTTTGCACGTGGGGTGATCGTCGCTTTCGATGCTGTCGACCGTTATCGTGACGCTGTGACTCATCACGTTTTTGTTCCAGAACACCGTCACGTGCCTCCAGTACCCTCCGATGTGTGTCTGGTACACGCACGTGACACTGCTTTGTGGGTTTTTGCTCGAAATCGCTTCGTCTACCAGTTTCATGGAAGACGAAGACGATACCCTTGTGCTAATTAAATTCTCAGTCATTTTCCTTCTTTTGCTTCTTGGATTTTTCAAGAATTCATAGTTTTGGACTTACGAGAAATTCTCAACATGATTCGCCTCAAAACGCGCATAAATATATGCGCGAAGAATCAATATGTCTGATTAATGGTGCACTCAATTGTGTATATGCATGAAGCCATGCATGGACGTACGTAGGCTGATCGCCTTCCGTTTTTGGGACAAATCGGAGACGATGGCTAATTTGTTTTCCTGGTTAAAGTTATGTATTTTGTGTTGAACGTTGGCCAAGACCAAGATAGATGGAAATTGATCAATCAAAACCTGATGATGATGATGAGGAGGACGAAGACGGTGACAAATTAAGGTTCGCCTAGCCTAGGAATTGAAGATCGTCTTGGATTGAATTTGGAGACTGGAAAAATGAATAATACGCAGGTTTGGGTAAAATAATGAAGAAAATATCTAGCAGTTTTTTATCGCTTTGATTAAATTGTTCTGTGAAAATATGCTAGTTTAAACAACAATTTTTGCTTTGTGGAGGAAATTGCTCATGCCAGAGTGGCTGAGGGGAGGAGCTTTCGGGAAAAAAGAGGCCAAATTTTCACTAGCCTCTACTTTAAAATTTGCCTCAGATTTGATTTTACAATTTTGATTAAAAATTGTCATAAGTAGAGTTAAAACATGGTTAAAATTCTTCAACATGAATCCATGTTATATATCCTTTAAATATAATAAATTTTTCCCTATAAAATATTACCTTTCTACTATTTTGATGATTTTACTGTTTTAATTATAACATGTCATATATAAGTAGAATTAAAACATGGTTAAATCCAAAAATGGTTTCACTAATTTCAACAATGAATTAGGCAATTCCAATTCTATTAGATACGAGTAACTCGTAAATCCGGTGACTATATAAACATTCATGACACTATCTTACCTGAATTAATTAACACAAAATGTGGGCAGTTATAATAAGCATTCTAACTCAACGTATCTGCATGCTCAGCTTGTCTCACTTTCCCTACTTTAATTTCTGATCCTACTTAACCACTAAACTACTAAAGAAGGATATTCTTTTTTTGCATAAATATTAGAAGCATGGAAAGATGGAACATGTTTTATATTATGCCCCCTCTTCTTTACGTAGAAGGATTGGTAGTGTTTATGTTTTCCAGGTTTAATTTATAAATATATACATATAATATGAAACTTACAATGTTGAGAGTTAGAGCGACCAATGCACAAGGAAAAAGTGTTCTAATAATCTTTCATGGTAGAACGAGAAGATAACAAAAAACGATCGGAGAAGATTCATGATGGAAGATTATGAATGACTTCTCCAAATTTGTTGGATTGCGGCTCTATGTAGTATGTTACTACTCATAAGTAGTCGATATATATTTGAAATATCTCTATTTCTTTAAATGTAATTAATGGTTGTGTGACTAGTAAATTTATGTTTTTAAATAGAATTACTCTATGTATACTCCCCCCCCCACACACACACCCACACACCCACACCCACACCCACACACCCACCCCACACACACACCCACACACACACCCACAACCCCACACACACACTCTCTCTCTATATATATACTTATATATATATATATATATATATATATATATATATATATATATATATATATATATATATATATATATAATACTAGTTTTTTACACGTGCGTTGCGCGATTGAGCAAACGCCCAATGAGTTTTTGCTAGGAAGTTTGTATATTGAGTAGATTCAGTTATCGTTAGCTATTTATAGCTACGAAGATATACATTGTTTAACATTCTTCCATCGTGAAAAACTTGAACAAAAAACAAATTCAATAAAACATACCAAGTATAACAAGTAATATTACCTTTAATTTATGCCAACCATTCATATAATTGCTATTGTTGGGATATATTATCCCGACCTATTACTGTTCAGGAGCCCAAGACATTATCCAGCACGAAGCCCGAACAGCTAGGCCAATTTCGGCCCATCAGGCCCAACATTGGCCCGTTAGGGTGGAGAGCACCCTTTCCCCCTTCCTCTATAAATAGGAGGAGTTCCCTCCTTATTAGGGGTCTTTTTTTCTTCTTCCTTCTCTCTCTAGATTAGCTTTATTCTCCATTAATAGAGTTCAACATTTGTATCTTGTAATGGTGAGGAGAGTCCTAATGAGAATGAGAGGGCTTGGACATTAGCCTAAAAAGTCCTGTGGTTTTCTCCCTTTCGGGTTTCCACGTAAAAACCGAGTATTCATACACCTTTATACATATATTTACTATATCGTGTTGGATTAAACTCTAACAGTTATACAACTTTTAGATTCATTAAAAAACATAGGTTGCATAACTTGCATTTAAAATCCACTTCATTAGCTTTAGTTTCAAATTCATTCGAAATAATCTGAAGTGTTTTGCATAGCACCTCCCTCACTTACTTTTCTGGTGTGACAAAACAATATAAGTTTGTTAAACAAAACATAGGAGCCTTGTCACTTGCACATGTTCATGCCATTCCTGGACTGATTACAAGTTACAACCAATCCGAAAATAAAACACTTTCCAGCAACCTCTAAGATGAGAAAAAACAAAAAAACAATTATACCTAGCAAACAGTTTTAATAAAATTCCAAGTTACATAATTACCAAGGACAAATAGTGTCTTACTTTATAATTACGTCTCCTAGTAACTAATAATAAGAGAATAGTCACCGGACTTTTACTTTTTGTTCCATTATTGGTTCAGGAAGAAAGACCGAGTCTATATAGAAAACAATTTTGTTCATCATCACAGATGAACGTGAATCACCCCTCTCTATTAGGCTGCGGCATGTTAATTCGTTTTATTTTTGCAATTATTATAACTTTTCCATTTATGATCCAATTGTTTTAATAAGATATATCTATGTTTTTAATTATTTGTTATGATTTTTCATATGGTACCAATATGGGAATATTGCATATCTAAAATTTATAAAAAGTCCGGATAGAAATAAATATTTTGAAAAAATAGATTTTGTATATGCAATATTGGTACCATTGGAAAGATCTAGGAAAAAATTAATTCGATATATTTTTAATAAAAATTGGATCATAAATAAAAAGTTATAACAAATTGAAATCCAAATAAGATTGCAATGCCGGCAACCAAAGAAAGAGGGGTGACAGAACAAAACTGCACTCGTCTCAAATCTCAATTGACCTAGCACAAGGCTCAATTTGATAATTGATGTGGTGAGAAGGGGCACACATAAAATCTATTCAGAAAAAACAAAAAAAAAGTATTCAAAAGCTCATTGAGGGATAGCATTCAATGTTTTCATCGGAGAAAAAACTAAAAAGAGCAAAAATTCACTGAGCTGGGTGATAACATGTGAATTGTTTACATCGAAATTAAAATAAATTTCAATTGGTCGAGAAGTATTGTGAGATTACACATGGAGAATAAGTTCAGAAAATACCACCAGCTCTACATCAAACCTATTTGTGAGATCTTCAATTGTAGAGTTGAAAGAGCTAGTTTTAGTAGTTAGCAAATGCCCATCTTGCATCTAAAATATTGTATTGGGTGGCAATCCAAGTTGCGTACCATGTCCCACATATATGAATGTCATGACCGAAACCGACCGGTCCCGATCGATCTCAACGTTTAGTTTGACTATTTTTTTTGTTTCCCTTACTAGTTGATAACTCAACGACACTTTTAAAACATTTCACTTTAGAAAATGGTTTCAAGAAATCAAGACCGAACAACCAGGTGATTGATCGGCCCATGCAAGGACTGTCGAGTCATTGAGGAGACCGGCCCAAGACCGGCTGGTTGTTGATCAGACAAAACAGAGACGGTTGGATCATTGGCCGGACAAGATGGGGACCGTCGGGTCGTTGACCAGATAAGACAGGAACAGTCGGGTCGTTGACCGGACTGAAAGAGGACCACCAAATCATTGACCATACCGAATCAGACCGGAACTGCTCGACCGTCGGATCGTCGACCGGACTGGATCGAAAGTGCTCAATTGTCAATCGAACCGGACAGAGACCACCAAGTCGTCGGGTCGTTGACCGGACCGGACTGGAACTAACACTGGAGCTGTACTGGATACGGATCGGAGTAATTTATCCCGACTCGTGACCCCCGGCTGTCCTTCGATTCTTTAGCAGTTCAGCATCCAGCGACTGCAGCAGCAGCGACCACCCGTCTAGCCAACCACAAGACAACGCCGCCGTCCGCCTACGGCCTACCGGCTACCGTGTTCTGCCCCAACCCGTCAATCCGCCACTCGCCCAGCGTGATTGCAGGTTAGCCGCCGTGAGCCGCCACCGGCCACCCGTCTGCTGCACTGCTGCACCTACACGTCGTATGCATCCCCCAATTTCCGTCACTTTTCATCAAGGTAAATTAATCCTAGAGAAAAAAACTCAATTTCAGACTGTTAGATTTTTTGACCTAGTTGGCTAATTCCAGAGTTAATGACTGAAATTTTTGTGCTCAAAACTTGATATGCATTCCATTGTTTAATATTATGATTGAAAACTCATTATAATACTTATGACTGAAAATATCGTTTATAACTCATATATTATGATTGAAAACTCATTGTGCTCAAAACTCCATGTTAAAAACTTATAATAGGATTGTGATTTGTGCCAATGAATATTAATCCCATTCTTGTTATCATTCTCACTATTAATGTCATTATTTGGACGTTTAGCATTAATATGAGTGATTTTTGTGAGTATTAATCTCATTGTTTAGCATTAATCCCATTTACTTTTGTTAGTATTAGTCCAATTGTTTCTAATATAGACTGGTTTATTATTGTCTAACCTATCTTATGATGTGGCGGATTCAAATAGAGTTGAAAAAGTTAATAAAGATAGATCTAAGGAGACACTTTAAATCTTTTGAACCAGAAGCTAATGAAGATATCATTATGGAGAGACACATCGTTATATGAAAACCCCAATTATGAATTCGTGATGGGTTGCTTGAATTTGACTTAGATGAAAACTCTTATTCTTGTAAACATCTATAATACTTTGTATATATTTTTATATATTATTTGTTGATGCAATTCAAATTATATTATATATATGAAAATTTTGGCCCAACCTGAATTGAAATGCTAGATCTGACCCTGCCATGATTTCAAGGAGGAGCCTATCAGCAGCGCCATTTGAAGACTTGGCGGCATGAGCGTTCGTACCTTCCTTGAATTTCTTACCCGTCACTGTGAAGAAACCCATCCACCGTTTGAGAAGGATACCCAGTACAGCAGCATATTCCTAAGTCAAAACAATGTGTAGTGGAATATCAAGCTGATTAACATACATAGCCAAATCTCTCTCCATACGTAAACCAGTCTTCCTCAACTCGTTTGGAAATAAAGCATCTGCAATGGTTAATACGCCAATGGTTCCTCCTAACGCGGCGATTGGCAACCAGAATTTAGATGGAGGTGTGCCTGCACCACCGCAGCCTCCAGGGACGGATATGACCGGGATATGTTTTAGGGATCAGCTATGGCTGAACACTTACCCTCTGGACCGAAACTTGGTGTTCGATTACTTTGTTCTTTCACCTTTTTATGATTGGACCTGCAATAATGAACAGCTCCGCATGCGCTCTATTCACCCCCTGGATGTTTCTCATTTGTCGTAAGCTCTCTTTTTCTCCACTTATGTCACGCTCAAACACATTCCGTAGTTGTCTGTTTTTGAATTTTGAGAAAAAAGAGTGGGTTACTGTAATGAATACAAGTATAACTTTTCAAGTTGGTTTTCAAGATTTAAGACTTAAAGTACATATTTCAGCAGTTTGATTTCAAATGCAGAAAAATGACTGGAATTGAGTTCATGCTTACTGAAGTTATGGAGCCCCATCACTTTGTCTTCCGTAAACAAAAGAGAGATAGTCCTGAGAAAGTCACACCGATGCTAACTTATTATGTGTTGGATGGTTCAATTTACCAAGCTCCTCAGCTTTGCAATGTCTTTGCAGCTAGATTGGTTCGTATGTCCCTGTTATTGCTTAATTTAATTGGTGTGAACTTTGAAGCAGCTAGTAATTTTTTGTTTTGTAGGAAGCAAATTGCTCTGTTAATCCCTCATCCCTTGAATGTAGTTATGTTTTCCCTGCAGTGAAAAGCATTGTTTGGTGCGGGGTGAACTTAAATCTAGAAACTTGTTTGATCTGGGTGAACCCAAGTGCATATGCTAAAAGTACTTTTTATATGATTATAAGATTAATAATCTAGGTGAATGTTATAAAAGTTTCTTTGGGTTAAGGTTCTCCAACTCTTCACATGATAAATGTTAAAATATTAGTTACATGGATATCGCAACCTCGGAAATTCCCCGATTAGGCGTGTTTTCAAAAGAGAAATTTCTCTAAGGGGGTGTTTGGAACTGATTCTGCTTCTACTTCTTTTTTAAAGTAGAAGCAGAATTAAAATCAGTTTTCAGAAGCTGGTCTCCCCCAGCTTCTAAAAAAACTGATTCTAGGAGTAAATTAGAGCTCCAGAATCACTTCTTTATTTTCATCCAAACACTTCATCTTCTGCTTCTGCATGTAAGAAGCAGTTTTAAGAATCAGATCCAAACACCCCCTAAATAGGAGTAAAACATTGCAAATTTTCTTAAATAGGAGTTACATTGTTTTCTTCCCAAATCAGGACTCACAAACTCTTATTTAGTGATGTGTTTTTTTCATTTATTATTCTAATAGGACTAAATAAGCCTGTTTTAGGAAGAAAACATATTTGGTCCTATAGAATTTCGCCCATGTTTTGGTCTCATTTTACAATTTTGCCTACGTTTTGGTCTCATTTTACAATTTTGCCTACGTTTTGGTCCTATTTTGAGTGATTTTTATTTCCAAAAGTGGTTTTTTGGAGTTTCTCCAAATTGGCCCCAGATTGTCCAAAAAGTGAAGCTCTTGTCATCAGAATACTTCCTACTATCTTGCTTGGGTGTCTGGGAATCAACTGTTTTAATTTTGGGAAAGTAAAACTGTGAAGACATGGAGGAGAGGGAATGTATTATCACAATATGTAGTAATCGGAAATGCAATTTCACATCCTCTCAGAGATTTAGCTTCTTAATTTTATAGAATTGCAATCAAATATTATGAAATAATTATCCACTATTCCTAGTAGTGTATTAATGTGGATGGAGGATACCCAAGATCCTGCATATGCTGCTTGTGTGCTGCCATAGACGGCCATACCCGGCATTCTTCACAAATTTCATATGGGGGTATACTATATTTCTGCTGCTGACATCCGTCATGACAACATTCGGAAACAGTTCTTTTCAATCGAGTCAAAGTTCCAAATGGAACCTTTGCTGTTAATGATTAGAACATTGGGAATTCTGGACTCAAACTAACAGCTTTATCATATTGAAACAACATTCATCTTGAAACTCACGTTCCTTTGGTTCCTGTTTCTGATAGGGGCGGGCTTTATTTCACATATCAAAAGCTTTTACCTTTGCTGCAACAAAACTGGAGAAGATTGGATATGGTATTTTGATATACTTTAGTCCCTTATATAATTTTATTTAATCATTCTGAGATTTTCAATATTCAAATGATATAATTTTGATCACCTGGAGGAAGATTTGAAAATATATATTCAGGACTAAAGAATTATGTGTACTAAAGTTTTCACTGAAACTTTCATTCAAGCGCCCTAATATGAAATACCATCATCATAAATGTTCATGCTACCACCCCATGTACGAGTTAACTAGTTAACTCGCGATCTTGACAGCATCTCAAATTGAGATGAAGGCTTAGTTGACATTCTTTCTTCAAGTCTTGATTACTTCTGAATAAGCTAGTCATGAAAATCAAACTAATTCATTTTTTTTTCAGATATGTGAAACTTGAAAGAAGGAATCATGAACCTTGATAACCTTAGCTTCTTGCATTTCTAAAGAATATTTGACTTTTAGTTGTTTAGTGAGTGTCCATTGAAAGTTCATTACTATAAAGAACCAAGGATAGCAGACTTTGATTGTGATTACTAATTCACATAATGTCTCCACTTGTGATTTTAAAGTGACTTCTAGGACACCAATTTTTTTCTCTGATGATGAATTACCATAACATTATAATGCTCTTAAAATAAAACTGTTTAATTATGCTTTACATTTTACTTGCATTTAATATTTTTTTGTAATCATGCAGTTGATGCCGAAAATGAGGGTGGGCAAGCTGAGAAAAAGGTCCCCAAGGAGGCTATTGACTTCAAAGAACTTAAGCGAGTAGATCATATTCTTGCTTCTCTACAACGCAAGGTGACCTTACCTAGACCAACGAGCACTATGTGTTCCTTTGTATGAATATGCATAATTTAGCTGAAAGAAAAGTTTGTCACAAGTTGCATGGTTCCCCAAAGTATACTACTCTTAAGTAGTTTTGTCGATTTTACCAATTGATCATGGCCCAAATATCCTCAGTGCTATGTTCAAAAGAAGGAAAAGGGAAATGTTCTGTTTGTGTTGGTGTCATCTTTCAGCAGCAAAATGACATGTGTCTGAATATCATTTATAATACGAACCCATTCTTTGCCAAAAAAATGAACCCATTCTAACATTTGAGAGGACCTCTTTGGCAAGTTTTTTTTGGCTAAATATGCAAGTTAGAAGCCAGTCTTTCCTTATAAGAAAAATATGCCACATCTAGCTGGCGAACAAGGACATTAGGTAGCCCCCTTATTATGCTAATATAAGCCTTGCTGGCCGGCATTTTTACTAGTCTTTTCAATTTTGATAAACCTAAAAGATATATCCAAGTTTAAACTAAGGCCATTCAATATCATCTTCCACAGGTCCCTCCGTAAGCCGCTATGCAAATGGACCATCCTTGATGGCATGTTTGTCTGATTCTCATATTAGTTACTTTATGTTTTTTACAGCTTCCACAAGCTCCTCCGTTGCCTCCATTTCCAGAAGGCTATACACACCAGTCAACTGCAGAAGGGTCAGAAAACCAGCAAGCAGAAGGCCAGCAGCAGCCTCCACCTGATCCCATCATCGACCAAGGCCCTCCTTCCAAGAGAATGCGAGTTTGAGTGGTTTCTCTTTTCTTGTGCCCAAAGAAACCTAAGATAGCAATCTGCATTGTTTTGCTACAATCTTAACCTAAGTTAGGTGAATGCGTTCATCCTGGCTAGGGCTGTACCAGTCCAGTTCTGGTACCCAGTATCCCTCTCCGAGAACTGGTCCTGGTTCCCAGCCAGTTCTGGTTCCATTTTTTTGTTTTCTATTTTTACATATTCAATACTCTGTATGTTAATTCTTCTAAAGATCTACTCCCTCCGTCCCAGGGAGAAGTTCCCACTTTCCTTTTTTGGTAGTCTCAACAAAAAGTTCCCATTTCCCTAAATGGAAAGTTATCCTACATCAAAACAGTGCCAAACAGTGTCCATACAGTGTCAAACAGTGTTGAAACAGTGCCAAACAGTAAAATTTACCCCTCAGTAACTTTATTTCCCAAATATGTGTGAAAGTCAACCCGGGAACTTCTCCCTGGGACGGAGGGAGTATATAGCAACTTTTGTTGATCATATAAATATCTAAAATATTATATATCATAGTTGTATAAAATTTTGGTGCTTGCTATGGTGCCCGTCTTATTTTTTCGGGTACAGAACCTGGCTTATGTGGCCAAATAAAGAATTGACATGTGGATAGGCAAATATATTGATCGAGAATTCCAGCCAAGAAAAAAAAAATTGCACTTGAGTCCTTGGGAGATAGACGGGGACTAAGGGTTAACGGAGCTTTCTTTTCTTTTGCCATTTCCTGGTATCTACCAAAACCAGACGCAATCCTCTTCGGCTCTTCTTACTATCCACCGCAACCCCAGACGACGGCTCTCTCTACCCAAACCAGAAGTCCGGTGCCTTCCAGGTTGCCTACTATCCACCGCAATTAGACGGTGGCTTCTTCTCTCCATTGCAACCAACGAGACAGTGCTATTGCCTTCTCTCCCTGGCTGCCTGAGCATTATTGCGGAAGAGGAACTTAGCGCCATCAATTGACATTTTCGAGCATTGAAAGGCTCCCTTGAGCATATTCTAACAAATTCCGTATGTACTTGGTTTATTCATCAAATCCAATTTAGGGCTTTTCTTGAGAAACATGTTTTAGGATTTTCTTACAAGCTCTTCTTCTCATGGCTTATTTGGCCAAATAAGTTGTTGTTTTCTGTTTCAAACAAGCATTTTTTATGCTTCTGGTTTTGCTTATTTTCTGTTTTGGGAGCAAGGATTTTCCTTGGCTTTTGTTATTGCTAATTGATAAGCTTATTGCAGCATAGCATGATAAACAAAATCTAACATTTGGTTTATGGCATTACTTTCAAATAGTCTAGCAATGTCATCCGGATGTTAAAACATTCCAACATTACAGTTGACTCTGCAATTTAATGTGTAATTCCTCATCCTTGCTAGCTAGCTCTCACTTTTTATATAAAATTGGTAAATTGTGTTGTTAAAGTGAAATTGAAAATGTATTGCACGTCTGCACCCCATCCATCCCAAATTATAGGTCAAATTCAATTTAAGAATGGTATTCATTGAGAGACAAAAAATTAAAAGCAAAACCTTTAAATGTAGTGTTATCACTGCTATCTCACAGATTGTCTATGAAGTGAGACAGTGAGTACAACATTAACATACCTTTAAAGAAAATAAGAAGTGTGATCAAAGAAATAAAAAAAGTTAACCAAAATAGTAATTTCCACTCATCCATTGTCCTAATGTGTGCATGGTTTTTTATTTTTTGAAAATATCTTGGATACATGCATTGTTTCTGTTCCCTTTAGCATAATCTGGAGAGGGTAGGGCTATTAGTGTTCAAGAAGAATGTGCATATTTGAAATATCCAGTCCAGAATATATACCTATATAAGGAGTTTGAATCCTAGTTGGAGATAATTGGATACTTTAAATCATAACTTGAATAAGAATAAGAAATCTGGAGAGGGTAGGGCTATTAGTAGTACTCCGTACTTAGGTACAGATGTTACTTTTAGGAGTCTAGTGCACTGGATTTGCAATGTAGGTAGTATTTGGCTAAATGCCTAAATGGACGTCTTCTATTTCCGGGTTTTAGTTTTTTTTTTTATTTTTTTATTTTAAATTCCTCAAGGTTTTGTCTTTTAAGCTTTTATTCAGCCCTAATGTGTGTAGACACCCATGCAAATACTCATACAATTAGAGGGTCCAATATCAGCATATATGGAAATGTTTGAATTGAAATTTTTTGTGCATGATCAATTTACAGTAAGATATACTCCCTCCGTATCACATATATCTTCTCACTTCCAAAGCAGGTGAGATTAAGAATAGTGAAAGGGATATAAATTAATGAGGCCCGCCTAGTCGCCTAGGCACTGGCTAGTGCCCGACTAGCGCCTAGCGCCTTTTAGAACATTGATAATAATAATAAGGAAAGTTTGATAAAACATGGGTTTTGTCAGTCTGCTCATAATAATCCCACATGATAACCGTTTAGCCCATTAAAAAGAGGTATATGAGTGTAATAATCTGAACTATGATCGTTCCAATTTTATTACACTGAAAATTAAATGAGAATTTTCATTAAATTTAAAAACGCTAAAAATTGATTATTATTATAAAAATGATAAAAATAGTTATGGAATTAAAATATATAAAATATATAAAGAAAGAATGGCATAGATATTACTCCCCATCTTTCATTGGACAAAAATATGACCTTTTTTAAAATTGACTGAAAAGTTACCGCTAAACAGCTCCAACATCGCAACCCTTCTCTCTTCTTTCGTCTTGGGTCTAATGGACAGGGATGGGACAGATGGCGACGATGTGCTGGGCCGGGGCTGTGATGGCCGGAGTGTGTGCAGTTGAGGCGGCCAGAGTAGTGGTGTTGCTGGGGCAGGAGACAGTGGTGTTGCTTTTAGTCTAAATGTGATGATTAGCGGCACCTCACATGGTTGGGGCTGCAAATGAGGTTGCCGTAGTGTCGTTGGCAGCGGTGGGCAGTGGTGTCACTTAGTGGTGGACTCGGGCCGGTTCGGGCCGGTTCGGGCCCGGGCCGGGCCTAGGCCCGACCGGGCCGCCGGTTCTGAATAGGTGGGTCCGGGACCAGCTCGGGTAGCCACCGGGTCCGGGCCGGACCGGGCCTCGGGTCAATTTTTTTTTTCCTTATCCTAATTAACGCCCCCCCACCCCCAAACCACCCCAAATGGCCCAAAATACCCAGCCCAACACGAAAAGTTAAAAAATTGAAAAAATAAAAAGCCCGAAACCAGGCCCGAACCAGCCGGGTTGGTTCAACTTTTGGGTGACCTAAGCCCGCACCGGGAACCCCCCGGGCCGGGCCTACCCAGACCGGTCACTGGCCGGGCCACCGGGCCGGGCCGGTTCAGCACAGTACCGGTCCTGGGCCGGTTCCGGGTTGGTCCACCCGGCACGAGTCCAGGATTAGTGTCACTTAAAGGAAATGATTATAGTGACCTAAAAATCTGGTGGTAACTTAAAATTTTTGTAGTGACATTGAAAAAGTGACATCAGAATTTCGGAGATACATAAAAATTTCGCAGTAATCGCAGTGATGAGTGATCAATTATTCTGCAGATACAACACTTTTCATGTGATCAATTTTAATGGCTACAATGTTATGCTTAACAGCGTCCACTGAAATCTTTTCAATGGCAGTGAAGTTAAAGAAAGGAATCATTCTACATAAGTTGTCAATCTGTATTGTATGATACACCTGAGAGGCTGAGACACATGAAAATATGAGACATAAGGAAATAGAAAACAGTTCAATATTTTAGAAACATCAATATACTAAATGTCTACGGTATGTGAGTTACGAAGAGTGACAAACCTACTGCAGCAACCTCATAGTGACTTTTTTCTCCAAAGATGGAACATATTGATGAGACAATTGCACATTAGGAACAGAAGAAGCTGATGCAGTTCGGAGACTCTGCAATCTTATATCTTTACATTTCAATGAAATCTTTTTCTTCTGAAGAAATGAAAAAAAATCTTACCCCATCCATACAAAAAATAAGAGACAGCTCAGACAGAAGTAGACTAGCTCACAAGCAAGTTATTTCAATGATATCCCAACACATCTTATTATGTTGAGTACTAAATACTATCAACTAAGTCCAAGCTTGAATTTCTCATTGTAAAATGACACGGTTATTTAGACAATAATTAAATACAATTACTCGAAAAGTATTTTGTGTGTGTGTATATAACATAATAAGGTCATTGTTGATACTTGTGATGTTATAGGTGTATTATTTGATGATTAAGTTGTCATTTAAGGGTGCTAATTGTTTCCCAAATTAGATAATAGGCAAAGCATAAGCAGATAAAAAAATGACGATGAAATATATGCAGAAAATGTAAAGATGTTTGCTTACTTATAGTTCCTGCATTCCCGTTTCTCAAGACATAATTGTCTTTGACTATGGTACCATATATTAGTAATGGCTAACTATCGTCCATCTACAGGAGAATGCAGGAACTTAAGCAAAAGATTCACTAACCTTTTTGTCTGTTGGGAAGTTGTGAAGTTTCAAATACATTTCAGCAGCATATGAAGATGAAAATATCTCATCCTACAAAAGTACAAAACAGCTAGATACATTTTTCAGATAAAGGACTACGAGTAATAAATTTCACTTTGCCACTCAAGGGTAAAAAAAGATACAAAAACGGGAATTCCAAGAGTATGGAGCTTCTTGGAGAACAGTTTTCTTGATTTTGTTGAACTATTTGTCACAAAAACAAGCTTCTTCCTCTGATAAAATAACCGCAGTAGCAAGCCAATGACTGACAATGGAATAAGAGTAAATAAGACTCTCCCAAAGTGTCACAAAACAAAAGGAAAAAGAAGAGTCGAGTACATTGGAACGAAACATATGGAGTGTTTCAGGGTTTCCATCTATCAATTTGTCACCTTTCCAAATCACACCTTAAATTAAATGTAGAAGCAAAATACATTAATTAAATGCATTGGTATGTTTAATCTTGCAAAAAAGAACAAGCAGAAAGCAATTCCGCATTAAGGAGTGCAGTCGAGCATTTACCATCGCAGTCGAATAGAAAAGCGTCGACGTAGAGTCTCTGGTAGGAGAAAGAAGATAGTTTCACTGTTGAATCTGCGACTTCGCAGCTCGTATCCAAAGAACAGATGCTACCTGTTCTCGTGTAAACAGCGGGACCCTGCATCTCTTATGTCTGCACGATTGGAAATAGTATTTCCTCGAGCACGCGAGAATCATCTCGTAACCATTGTTTACTTTTGTATCTGCTAATGGCAGTAGCCGCAGACCGGCAGAAATGAGATAGGAAGAAGACCTTTTGAAACGACGGGAATAAAAAATTGAATAAGAACATGTGCTTAGGAAGATGACAGAAAGGGAAGGGAAACGACGGGAATAAGAAACGACGGGAAGAAAGACGGAGCAAAAGGAGGATAACGTACGGGTGTCCTCAACACAGATTTTAAATGATTTTAAAGGATTGTAGATTCTATGGATTATAATTGACTTCTACAGATTCCATGAGATTCATATGGAAATCTATGGATTTCTATTTAATAAAATTATATGGATTTTAATGGATTTAAATCGTTTTTAATATGCAATTCCAGGGCAGATTTTAAAGTATTACAAAAGATTGTTATGCAAAACGAAACTAGTAGCAAACAAAATTTAATGACCCATTCCCTATTGCGAAGGTGAAATACGTATGCTACTACTATCTGCTACCATTCCCTGTTGCTATATGCCTATATAGGTTTCGTTTAGAGAAACACGGATGAAACTATACATAGAATCAAAAGATGATTGGCCTGCTTTATTGAAAGAACACAAAAGATGGAACTAGCTACGTGCAAGATGGAAGAACACAAAAGATGATTGGCCTGCTTTACATAGAAACACGGATGAAACTATGCATCAGTACCTTGCGAAGATGGAAGAACACAAAAGATGATTGGCCTGCTTTACATAGAAACACAGATGAAACTATGCATCAGTACATTGCGAAGATGGAAGAACACAAAAGATGATTGGCCTGCTTTATTGAAAGAGATATGTGCAAAGGTTTTTAAATGCAGGGGAAATCCACGGAAATCCAGGGGGGGTTGGCCAGATTGTAGTTGAATTGAGTTGTTCAGTTTTTTGGCTAAAAGTCCATCCAAATCTTTTAAAATCCATTAAAATCAATAACAAGTAAAATCCATGGAATGTTTGAGGATACCTAGAT